GCAAAGTGTTTGAGGAAAAGTTTTTCCAACTGAAAATATCAGAGCTGATTTGGAACAAAGAAGATTCTGAAGAAGATCTTGCCTGCTTTATGAGACTTTTAGAATTTTCCTCATCTGCAAGTGAAAATGAACCTCCTGCTTGCCCACTGAGGACAGGGAGAGAACAGGGTAGGATAACAGACCTTCAAACACTTCATAGGGGGAGAAAGGAAGACAGGCCAGTCCCGTACACCCATCGGCACACCCACACCAGCTGTGCAGATAACTGTGATGGCCGGGCATCTCAATGAGACAGCTGGGCACGGGTGATCTGCCAAAAGACAAGATGGCCAAGTTTGGGCGGAATCCCTGGAGGGTGGTCACTCCAAGGCCTCTCAGGTCTGTGCCCAGGAATCTGCATTTCCAAGTAGCCCAGATGAGCTGCTACCCAGAGGCCCTCACCAGTCATGGCTCACACAGGCATTGGAACTCCACACGCCTCCTCCTTCTACAAGGTCTGGCGTGGATTTTCCTTAATTGCGGACACCGTGCTCCTCTACGCCTACTCTCACCATTGCTCCCGAGTTTACTGAACTTACAAACAAGAGAAGGGAACTACAAGGGAAAGCATCCACCTGAAACAGGACTGACCAGGGCTTGCATCAGCGGACACAGCAAACACAGCACATATCTGTGCACGGCTCACCACTCACAAAGTCCACAGCAGTGTGGTTCCCACTCAGAACATCCGGGTGTCTGCGGCCATGGAGAAGATGCTGCACAGCTGTTTCTATGCTAAATATTTAAAGGTGTGAATTTTATTACATATAGAAAAATGTGTGTTTAGAATACAAATGTGTGCATTTATGTTAAATACATGAAAACACGTATACATGAAAACACGTAATCCAGGTGTTTCGGTTCATACCACTGTGGAGACTTTTTGGTTTGTTTTCATACAACTGCCTAACTGGGGCCCAGAACCAACACCCACCAGCTGTGTCACTGCATCTGTTTTACTGTCACAGACCAGCCCTACCACACACACACACACACACACACAAAAAAAAAAAGCCATGGCACTTATTAAAAAATTAATTTGACAACATTATTAGAGACGACTTGTGGTCCTCTTTGAAGAGATTGCAGCACGTGAAGGATTTCAAATACACGTATGTT